CTTCCTTCCCGTGCACTTCGCCCGAGTTCTGAGGACCAGGCCACCGAGGGGAATCCCAGTTGAGAAAGGGTCTCGTGCTAAAATAAAAAGAATTGTGACAGCTCAAGTCAGCCGTCTAACCAATGAACGCCCGCCAATGTCCTCTCTCCGTGGTTCTCGTGGTGGAAACAAATCCGTCTTGCGTCTGTTTGAGAAACTCTTGGACAGATATAAACCCTCGAGGGCTGTATCAATACTTCTTTTTCCCCATCATCAACGTCAATAACCATCAAAAAGAAAATCGTAAGTGGGGACCCTTTCGAGGGCCAAAGAAGTTTAAGAGAAAGAAAAGGGAGCGTAGCCGCTTGCGCGAAGGAGAGTCGATCCACTGGCGCATCATGGTCGTATATCGAGTCCAGCTACTAAGAGAAAACAATATAGAAGTGAAAAATCAGCCATCGCCTGTGTAATAAGACAGTAGATAGCAACGCGTCGCGTGCGCTGGGAATCATGAAGTGAGAATGCAATGGCGGGTGGGGGGTATGCTTTTGTCTCTCAAGTAGTCGTGAAAACCATCTAGGAAAAAAGTCCGAGCTGAGTAGCACCTTGTCGAGCCTTAGACCTGCTCGACGTAGAGGAGGAGCTTCTCGTTCCTTTGCAAGGCGTAGTCCAAGTCGTTGTCGCTCATGAGGTTGGGCTTGTCGCCGGTGGGTTCGTCCTTGTAGAAGAGCTGGACTTCCTCGCCTACTGGGATCTTGAGCCTGTCCACAATCTTGTCGTACAGCTGCTGGAAGGAAATGTCTGTCGCAACCCGGATCGCGATGAGATCGCCGTTGAAGTAGAGCTTGATCTTCATGGCTTGAACTTGACCCTGGCCGATGGCAGGAGAAGGCTGTGACTGCGACAGAGATGACGGCTGCCGGTTCATTCCGGGCTGGCCCATCGCTCGTTGCTGAGCACCGTAACCATTGCCATTCAAGTTATTCTTGGAGGATTGTCGTGAAGCCGCATCTGCTGGTGATTCGTTCGATGAAGGCTGCGAGCCGCCCGATAGTCGGTATTCGTCGCTCGGCGCATTGGGGTCCATCTCGTAGTCGCCTTCTCTGGGGGCGAAGAATTGCTTGACGAGGGTACACCTTGCAATGTAGGCAGGCTGCGCGAGGAGGTTCTTAACGTAGGCATCTAGGTTGTGTAGCCGGCCTTCCGTGATTTGATCTGTCACATAGTTTACCGGACCAGGCATGTATGGGAGTGTACGCTTTTGCGTGCCGGTGTTTCCTGCCTCGGCCGGGAACTCGGTGAGCAAGGCAATCTGGAAGTCGTAGAAGTCCTCGTAGTATCTGGACAATTCCCAGTGACGGCCATCCTCCAGCACTGCTTCAATGACGAACCAGTACTTGTCTTCCGCAAAACAATACCTCGGAATACGGGCTGAGATGGGAGCGTAAAGCTGCGACGCTGGTTTGGCGTAGGGACTGGGTTGAGCAGCTTGCTGAGAGTTGCGTGATTGCTGGTAGCTAGCTTGTTGCTGCTGCTGCTGCTGCTGCTGTGTGGCATGCGTTAGCCTCAAGGTTTCCATGATAGAACGAGGAGAAACGTACATAGTTGGCACCGTTCTGTGAACTGGTGCGCCCGCCTTGTTGAAGACTCATGCGTTCCATTCCTTGCTCGATGGAGCCCTGTTGCGGTGCACCGTTGTCGAACTTGCCCAGTGTGATGCTGCTGTTCTTGTAGTCGGCCGCCATCTTCTTCCATTCTTCGACCTTGGGGATGCCGGCCTTCTTGATTGCCCCGGAGGCGTCTCCGACAGCGGTGTCCGTCGCCATATCGCGTATTTCGACAAAAGATACGGGTATCAAGCCGGGTCCTCCCAATCTGCCGATAGGCTTGGCGACAAACCATTCAGGGTTTGATTGAGCAATGACGATGATGGCCTCACCAGCCTTAGCCTCCAGCTCGTCGGCGCGCTCTGCAACAAAGTCGTACATGACGATACCATAGACCATCGCGCCGGACCTGCTGCCGGACCTAGACATACGCTGCGTCGGCTGAGTTGCGGGTGGTGATTGCATTGCGCCGGGAGGCGGCGCAGCCTCGGCATAGCCGGAATCGTGATCGGGGTTCTTGGAAATTGTCGGAGACATGGTTGGTGGCCGGGGCATAGCACCGTCGGACTGGCCACTATCTCTTTCGGTTCGGCCTAATGCTTGGAAAAAGGCTACAGGTACGAGGCCGCGGGCGTCGGGCAGTGCTGGGTTGCAGGCTTCGTACCAGTCGGGGTCGTTCTCTCTGCCGATGACGTGGAAGAAGTCGCCGCGCGAAAAGCTCAGCTCTTGGTTGGACTGGGCTTCATAATCGTATAGGGCTCGGATAACCTGGTAGGTGGATTCCAGCGGTCAGCATACGGAGTAAATGCGATTGCGTAGTTGTCAGCTTTCCCCCCACCATACGCATACGCGCGTGGTGGAGGCCCAGGCGCATGGGGCAGCATGGGGATTGAGGCATCTATCAGCACATACCTTCTTTGGGGGGACAATAGCAACAGCAGACTTGGGGGCAATGTTGACTTTGGCATTATCCTTTTCGCCCTTGATGGACCGACGGAGGGCCTGCATAAGGTGAGGGACTGTCAGTAAGTGATCGGAAAACCGATTTCTGGACATTGATTCGCGATTCATCGTGGGTATGAGCATGGGCGCATGCGGGGTTGTTCATATACGGCGGAAAGTGGGAGAAAGGGAGCGCAAAATGTCGCAAAAGGGCTGAGGGCAGAGATACAGAGAGGTAGAAACAGAGCGCATGCAAGATTGTGCACCGGTTTCTTTTTGGGGAGGATGTGAAGTTGTGAGAAGGAATCGCAAGAACACAAGAGTGGTGTTTGGTGTTTGGTATTGGTGGTGGTGGTGACATGCGCGCGCACACGACTGGGTTTCTGGAAAGAGGGAGAGAAACTATTGATAGGGGTGGGAAGAGGGGGAAGAAGATGGATGGAAATGCGATGCAAGAAGCAGAGAGAGAAAGAGAGAGAGAGGATTGCACAACAGCAGGTACCAGGAGGCAGGAGTGTGGAGGATGACGAACCTTCATCTTGTGTGACGCTCCCTCACTTTGGGGAGGAGAGGACAGCTGCAGATTCTGGCAAGAATTAAGTGCGATGCTGTTGCGAAAAGGAAGTTGAAGTGGGAGTGGTGACGGGGGGCCCTGTTGCACCACACGGGAAAGTATGAAGTGGTGGTTAGGTACTGAGTGACTGAGTGACTACTGACTGATGTTAGGCAGGTGCAAACAGGTCAGGTCAGGTCAGGTCGAGAGAGGGAAGATAGGGATAATTGGGTGGGAAATGCTCCTTCCGCCAGGCAAGGCAAGGCAAAGTAAGGAAGGCAAGGCGCGATTGGGCGCAAACCAGGGGGTCTTCGTAGGGGGTGGGCGTGGATTGCGTGGATCAGTGTGCAACTATAAGCGACACTGCGACAAGACGAGACCCAAATGTCGATGTCTGTTGAAGGTGCAAAGTAAGTGGTGCAAGTATGAGCGTTGCAGTTCCAGTTGCTGTTGCTGTTGTGGTTCGTGTGTGTATACCAGGCGGGATTCTCTCCAAGAGATGAAGGAGGAGAGGTGTTGCTAGGTTGGGTTTGAGTTGAGAGTGTTGTTCCTTCCACTGATGGCTTGTTTTCTTTTTTTTCCCTTTTTTTTTCTTCCCTTCGACGGAGGGAAGGAGAGAGGGGGAGGGAATTGATTGATTGGGACTGGTAGGTTACCGGGACCAGGCTGATGCCAGTGCGAACGGGAAGGAAGGAGGGGCGATGATGACTGGGTCGCACTTTCCCTTCGGATTGCGTTCCTTACTTGAGTCGTGGTGGAAGGCACGGAGTGGTGGTGGTGGTGGTGCTTGCCGTGGACCGTTGGGCTTTCTCTGGAAAGGAAAGCGACGGGCTGAGAAATGGTGCGGCAGGCGGAAAGATCGACGGGTAAAAGTCGTTGGTTCCTTCTTGAGAATGTTCTTTATCCTCCCAAGGTCTTCTTGTTCGACGTCGTCGGCCTCGGTGTTTGGCGTAGGTTTCCTTTCCTTGCCTTTCCTTTCTCTTTTCTTACACAGCTCCTTTCTGCTCTGTCCGTGCGACTTTTCGATCTTTCTCTCGTCTGCCCGTTTGTGTGTGTCTCTCCAATACGCTTTTACCACGCGATCAGTTTCGACAATGTCCTTCCGAGTTTTCCGCTTCGTTTTTTTGATTTTCTTACTTCACACGGAGCAAAAAGAAGAAAAGAAAAATCGTTTCCACTGGATATCGGGCTGGCGCAGTACTTCGTGGGATTGTCTCTCCTCTGCTTTCTTATTCGGACTCGGAAGACGGCTGTATCCTTCTCTCTTTCTCGGCCTCCGAAACAGGGTGACCCGCGACTCAACTCGGGCTACACGGTACTCGGCGGGGTCGCAGGGGTCGGATGTGAGGTTGGCAGATGCACAACTTCTCGTCGTTCCTCGATCAATGACTGTCGTCCAAGACTCCAAACTTGAGCTTTTCGAATGCGCGACCAAGTGCAAAGATTGCGCTGAAGTGCGGCGTGCGGCGGACTTGCTGCGAGTGACCTGGAGGGTTGAGAGGAGGTGAGGGAAGCGACTCGAGAGAAAGCGGCGCGGACGGACGAGGGTAGAAAAGGCTCGTTCGCCCAACCAAGCATCTGCCCAAGGTGCCTGGGTACCCCGTACTCACTACCACCTACTTTACTCACTTTACATTACGGAGCGCTGCGGCACACACACACACACACACACACACACATACACACTATGACCACACTCCAACGCCCGGGATGGACTCCCATGGCCCAAATCCCACCAGACCAGACGAATCGAGGGGGAGACGGTTGGAGAGGGCTTGACTGGTGGGACTCGCCGACGAGGGTCGCCGACACCCCGGTCTGTACCCGTCTATCCAGTCTGCCCACTGGGCGTGGGTGGGTAAATTGCGCTAGGGTTACGGGTGGGTGTCCTGCCCTCCAACGAGGGTGTCAACTTGCAGATGGCTATGGATGGTGGCATGCGTCTCGCCACGGGAGTATGTGGGCAAAGGCCCTCGTGCGCCGTGTCTGTCACCTTGTGTGCCGCGCCGCCTGCCTTTCGCATGCTCTGCTGCCAGGCTGTGCGAGACAATGCTACTGACCATCAACCGTGCTTCAAGTTCATGGATGCCATCCATAGGAGAATGTTTCTTCTTCAACCTTCGTCTACATTTGCTACAGCCTTTGGCGCACCAAGTCTCCGACAACCGTCACTTGGCAGTACACTTACACCATCACAGCTAGAACAGCAGCCACCGTCAGAGATCGCTCCGTCTGGTAACGCAGCAACAGCAAGTTCGGGAGGCACCCGGTGACAGTTGACTGACAGACCAGTCCGAAGACATCGAAGCCGTCGCCCACGAGCACGGAGACTAAAACCGTCTTACGTACGGACCGGGCATTGCGCGAAACCACAGCGGGCGTGGTGGCCCAGCAGCAGCAACCCTCAGATGGAAAGCTTAAATCACCCCCCAAAAGTCTGCCATGGAGATAGCAGTCGGGAAATGTCACAAGAGCCGATTCTACACCATACAGTCCTCCTTCCACTCAACGGAACCACAGAGAGCCAGCTCTCGGTACGTTGGACGTCCAGTTGTCAACGCCCGATGGATGCCTTTGGTCGCATTCTTTGTGCGGCATAGTCATTTCAGGGCCCAGGGACTAGCAGCTCAAGTGCCAGTCGCAGCTTGCAGCTGCATGTCTCGCCCTTCTGCTCCCTAAGCCTCATGCTGGAGGCAGCCACCGGCTCTGAGCCGAAGCACCATACCTAGCTCGAATCTCTGGACGACAGTGAAGGGTCGCGACAGGCCAGCTATAGCAGCACAAGACTCGGTGCGTAGTGCCTATGACGACGGCACTGGATTTCATCCAAGGGCGCTAGAGCAGCTAGCGATGGGGATACAAGACAGCTACCAGTCAGCGAGCATGACTTTTACCCTTCGACGACAAACTAGAATCCACCTTCTTTCTCAGCTATCGTCCGAGACGCCCTCGTTTAGCGTATAGCTGTCAGCTTTCCAATAGTCTTGTCCTTCTCTACAGCTTACCGCAAGAAGGGCTGGAGCTGTTCAACCATCAACAAGCCAATCTGCCGCAGCAGTCGACATCGCACAGCGAGAAGCCTGGCTAGCGGTTGGGCCGCTTGCCGTCAATACTGTCATACCCTGGACCCCATCCCCTGAGGGCATCCTCCCCGCGGTTGCTCAGCCTTTGCCACTGTCTCCCTGGGCGCGCACATGGCAAAACCTCCACTCAAACACAGACCTTTTTTGGATTTTCGCAAACACCCCTCCTCAAGCTAGATTGAGCTTTGCACGCCCCCATGCGAAACATCAGTTTACAACCAATGACAAGAGCAAAGAGCTTTTGACACTTGCTTTTGCATGAACTGACCTCGCTCTTGAACAGCTTATCCCGTCTCTGGCAGAGTTGGATGAGCTCCCCCGGATGGCAGTGCGACGCAGGGGACTGGTCAAGAGATGGAAACTCATGGCGGCACCTTATCGATTAACGCAAAGACTCCTTCGCTCCCTTGTGATCCCGAGCAATGCAGGAAGAAGGGGTATCCTGTGCCCCCCATCTATCGGCCACACTCTAGCAGAGTTCTTCCTTTTTCTCAATCAGGGACAGCTCACTTGAACAAATGCCTCTTGGTTAGGACCCCTGTACGCGGCGGGCCCGGACGGTAATTATCTCTTTGGGACCCATTGAGTTCCAGCCTAATAAGTTCAACGGCCTGGACGCCACTTCGGCCTCAACCCAACCTACGGTCGAGCCCTGTCACACGGAATCTTTCCCCGGCCACCAGGCCGAGACAACACGGCCTATCCGTACCTTAGACCTCTCCGGTATAACGTGAGATTGCGGCGTCTACCTGTACGGCCTGTTGTTGTCGCGATTGGTGTCATCGGAAGAGCTGCACTTCTACGGCCAGGCGGTAGGCTTATAAGTCTTGCGCAGACTACGACGTTGTCACAGATCTCATCGGTTGCCATGCGGCTTTCGGGCGGCCTGGAACGCCGCGGATGACGCAGCATATCCCACCAAAAGGTGCTAGCAAGCAATTGCATGGCAAATATCCCGACGTTTATTACAAGGGTCTCGTGGATCCAGTGCGATCCACGCCAAGCTGGCATCGCGAATCTTTTTGATATCGTCTGTTGATACTGGTCATGCGGACATCGACAGGCCAATATGGGTAATGGCACACATTCGACTCCTTATGCGCATTCCAACCCTTCTTACAATGGCCTCCACCGTCGAGACGGCTCAAAACCTAATCGGCTTTTTGTCTGAACGACATGGCGATCTTGCCCTACCGTTAGAGGTTCAAAGCCTGCGGAGTGAGGATACACTGGTCTTCACGCTAGCAAAATACGCTTGCGAGGATTCAAAAGTCTAGGCCAGGCCAGAATGTGTCTTAGCCAATTGATCAGCAAGGAATGGAGGACCAGCTTACGCGCCGACGCGTCGGTTCAGGCTTCCTCAATTTGGCGCGCGCATCCACAAAAACAGTCCTGCAGCCATTGTCAACCAAGTGAACCAACAATGTCGAATCGCATTCCGCCGCTTTCAAAGTGCATTTTCTTCCGTTGGTGCCGTCAGATACCTACCGGCCCTTTCTGCGAACTACATGTCAGGGCCAACGGCGTTGTACCTTGCATAGACGTTGCCCATGCACGCCTCATCAGAATGACTTCATCTACCGGCTTCCCTGGCACCGCTACTCTTCCCAATCCGTCCCAGGTTTCCGACGCCTCGAATAGATTGCTACGTTCTCCATTCCCCCACCCGTGGTGCTCTTGATGGCGCCTTGGTCTTGTCCAGGTCCCAGGTGCGCTAAATGGCTGTTGCAGAGAGAAACCCCGCCAACGACCCATTTCAGTGGGACGCTTCAGGAACGGTATCCTGGCCCCTTCTTGGCCTTTCCACTGCCTGACGGATGTGGCAGGGCTGGCTGGAGAAAAGCTGGATGCTTTTTAACCGCATCTCTCTGCCGCTGATGTCGATCGCTACCGGTGTTAGTTTCTGTACAGCATTCACGGAACGCGGCTGGCGCTCGAGTAGACGTGGATCGAGTTGACGTTGCAGGGGCTCATTTGGGATTACCAAGCCTACGGTACGGACACTCTGCACTGCAACTTGCGCCGGCCCCATTTGGCTCTTACACCAATGCTTGGTAACCCAAAGCAGCAGCATATAGAAGCACTTTAATGGGCGTGACGTAGGACGGAATATTGGCAGCAGAGCCGCGTCTTCTGCCGACCCCACGGCACCATATCCCCCGTTCTCATGCGCACCGATACACAGTTGATCAAGTTGGCCTGACATGTCTCCCGACTATGCTACTTGTCATCGACTCTAGAAGCTTCTCAGATTCACAGCTCCCGGTAAATCGCATCTGCAACAGCGCGTCGTACGTCCAGTGCCATCCATGGCATGCGAAACCCGCTGATATCCAAGCAAGACAATGCGCCAGGCATGTCAAGCCCGATAGCGAGACTCGCATTCCAAATACCCCGGGTCACGTTAACCCATACTTTTGCATTTATCTTGGCTACTACTACTCTACTGAGCTTGCGGAGCAAGGTCTAGCTTTAACCTCGTGCCGCAGTTGTGTTCGGATCCAGCCCGTCCCGTTCGCGGGCACGACACAACTTGAAACTCGACGTCCCATGTCGCCTGAAACGGGGCAGAGAACGGCATCATCACCAATGAAAGGCCAGGAAAACGCACCCATTCTTTGCGACTTAAAGTGCTTTCAGAGTTCCAAATAGGACGGAGAGGAACCCTGGCCCGTCCCTGGTTGATGATCTTCAAGTCAGGGTTGCTTCACATCGGGATGCCCTGGCCAGAAAGTGAGACCTGTCAGCCCCAATCGCGGGGTGAGTGAGAGAAACGGAAGTGCAGTACCATATTCCGGAGCATCAAATACGTAGCGTTGACCCTGAACGCCCAACCAGAATGGCTCAATGGGCCAAGAATCGAATGCCTTGTTGAGATGACGGGCGATCACTTACGGTGACGATGTCTCTAGTCTGCTTCTACTATCACGAGTCGTCAGCTGCGCCAACAGTACCAGAGTGAACGAGCAGACTCAGTAGAACAAGCTGTATTCGGCCAATGGACGCCAATCGTTCTCTCGTCAGTGCCTTAAAAAGCAATTTCGGAAAGACAGGCTACACCTCTTCACCACCCATACTTACACCTCGAAATCAGGCCGAAACAACCACAGAAAGACAGCCGGCATGCAAAGTCCCGTTCACACCATTCCGTAGCGCCGATCTTCCGCCGCCGACTCGCGGGCTCTAGGAAGGACACCAAGTGCCACTGCCGTTCGGTGGTCGACTCTTGGTAGCGAACGGCTGACTTGGCGCAGGGGGAAGGGATCTCTCGCATGGCCTTGGTCCACGATGCAACGCCAGACCACCAGGACGCGTCCTCCTCGGCCCTTGCAGAAGGCACTCTTCTTTTAGTCTTTGTCGGCCTTCCTCGGAGTGGCAAACCGTGGCGGCCCTTCCCGCGGGACACCACTGTCCCCGGTCAAATCAGGCATTTTGGACTCGGATTCGGCACACGGCAGACGGTCTTGCAGGCCAACGAATTGTACGGACCAACGGTCTGCCCGTCCAGAAATAGCATGCGCAGTCCCCTTTGACGACCGAGCATAGTATAAGGTAGCTGGGGTTACAGATTGCTCTCGTAACCCTGCTCTCAGTTTAAGAGGTCGCCGCTGCTCGAGTGGCTTCACAGAGCATTGCATTTTCAAGAGGCCCGGTATGCGATTTGAGACCTGCCGTCTATGTGGAGTATCACTCGGCTGCCTTTCGCTTGACGTATCCCGAACAGGATTCGTCGTGGTTTATACGCGTGTACGAGCATCCAGTGAAGAAGATCTGCCGCCTTCTCAACGAGGATCTAAGCCAGCTCGGCCATACTGATGATACTTGTCGATTTCTGGTGACGTCTTCCGCAAGCCCGGTCTCTATCATGCCAAGCAAGAGATTACAAAATCTCTCCTCCACCAATACAGAGCAGTACCGCGAGATATGTAAAGTTGTCTTGCACCACCAATAGGGCCTTCTTCGGTGCTCTACTCTCAGGCGCGAAGCTTCACCGAAACTCAATCCAGAATATACTGTAACAAGCACCCCTATCACCTTGTTGTTTCCATTCGGCCCCTTCCACCTAGCTTAAAAGCTTGCTCATACGATGCTATAGCTTCTTAGCCTTTTACCTTCTTTTGTTTTCCCATGCAGCTAATATCATCCATTACTCCCTCGATGTGCCTGACCATCTAAGCCCGGGATGAATGGCGTGGTGAGATGGGTGGACAGACGCCCGGGACCCCGTGCGGGTTGTGCGTGCGTCTGCAAGTGCACGGCCGGGGGATGTCATACCGCGCGAGGGGATTTCTGCTTCGAGCTGTTGTTTTCTTTGACCCAACGAGAAGCCGCAGGGAGAAGAAACAATATCCGAGGGGGGAAAGCTCGAGAGATTGAGAGATAAGAGCAGAGTTTGGCCTCATGATTGTGTGGGTTTCCAACATCTTACCGCTCTTGCTATCGTAAGCTTACACCATGGGCTCCAGCACGGCCCGCCCCCGGACCATCTCCAATGAACGTCTTTTCCCTTTCTCTCTTTTCGAACGAGAATGAGATGCCCGTGGTTCGCCTGAACCTCTGTTATTACGCCCGGTTCGGATGAGCTTATCCCGTCTGCAGCTAGTTGTACTTGGAGATGTCTATGCGAGAGTCGCGGGGGTCTAGGCCAAATTCGTGGAGGAACTCGGCGGAGGTGGAAGTATGCAGGCAGGTCAGTAGGTAGGTAGGGTAGGTAGCCTATCTTCCTCGGCCCTGATCGGGCAGTTGGTAATGTGCGAGCATACTGGAGGTTGAGGATAAGGTTGAACTTGAGCCTTGCTCGTCTTTCCGGCGTCACGGTCCCGTGATGCTTTTTGAAACTTTTACTAGACTGTGATACTGTCAGGCTTTCCTTCGTGAACTAGGCTATGACGACGCGGGGGGGGGGGGGGGGGAGCGCTGTGGTGCATTGTTTCCTGACATTGCAGTCTCCATGCCCTAGCCAGAAGGAAGTTCATGAGTACTCTTTACGGGCTTGCATATGGTACAAACCATCCCTTCAGAAGTGACCTTCTCTGATATGTTTCCTTCCAGCTACGTCCATCCAACAAAGAAAACAATACTAAGGATCAGGCCTGCTCCTCGTCTTCAACCAAAACCTCTCGTTTGGTGTACTAAGATCATACCTGCAGTATGGATAGGACGAGATTTCCATCCTCCCCAGCCCCCGATTCCCCCGATTTTGCAAATCTTGTGGCGATAGAGGCGAGTGAGTGGTGACGAGGACCTCCTGCAGATCTTTCCAGCATACAAATCTACAGCGCCAGCACATGTCCGTCTGCTCATGGCAAAGTAGTAGAAACCGCAGCAAGAATAGTCATTAGTAACCCCGCCAGACGCTGTTTCGGAGGCGGTGAACGTTGTTCAGATGATCTCAACGAGAGCCTGGCCGATATGCATGAAACACGAAGCCACGAGATGTCAAGTCTTCTTCCAACACGCGGGCTGTTGGGATTTGGATAGCGTCGACTAGTCATGGATGAGTGAGATCCATCAATTCTACTTTCGCTGCAGCCATACCCTATACAGCTAATGGTAGGAAAGTACCGAGGTCAAGATGGCGATTGCCACAAGACATATGAGAACCGCCGTTCAAGCCATCAAGAACGAAAAACAAGGGCCATATTGCACGGCATAAAAAAAGTAGCAAATGTATGGCATGAATTTCATAAGGTCTACAGACCGGACTGCTGCCAGGCTACGAAAGGCAGCCTGCAATATTTCCATTAAAGCTGAGTGACGTATATGCAAACGTCCAGAACAAACTCCAGTCGCCATCTAGCCGTCATGGAGACAAATTCCATATATTTTCCGCTCAAACGCCATCCTGTTGCCTCTGCTAAGGCAGGGCGAACGGGTATCATGCCTATAAAGCCCCCAGAGCCCAAGACCAGCACCAAGCCGGTAACGTCGGTCGTCATCAGCGGCGGAGCCACTGTTGCGCAAGCATCGCACCCCTCATCCGGCGCTGTCTTCGAGAGAAACAACCGAAGATGTCCCCGCTGCGTGGAGCTGTGCGTAAGCGTCAATGCCATCAGAGGGGGGCGGGCAGCGAGGTAGAAAGCGATAATTCGTAAGCTCGTAACCAAGAACTGGTATTAGACGTCTTCGAAGGGCGCAAGTGATGCAGGGTAAAATGACACGCCAATGTTGTGAAACTGTCGGTAGGAAAACAAGAGAAGAAAGAGGAAACGAGGAGGAATGAGTCCACAGATCAAAGCCTGTGGACTTTGAAGAGAGAACCGGAGGGAGGAGTGGAAGCAAGACCTCGCGAGTGGCTTTGGGGTCGGCGGTAGGGGTGGTTAGAAGTTGTGTAGAGCAATTTGTGATGAGAACAGAGATGACGAGGAATTCATATCTGTCCTTTGATGTCAACCTTGCGGAAAGCCTCGCTTCTGGCGGAGTCGAAGAGGGCTCCGGCTTTGCCGGTCAAGAGAGCAATAGACTCTTGTCGTTCCTCGAGCAGATGCTGACCATTGTAGTCGACAATGAATTGAGCCGCATCAACGTCGGACTCGAAGCCGAGTTCCTCCGTGATGAACCGTAACTTTACGTCTGGCTTGTATCTATGTCCAAGTTAGTAAGGTGATGCCAAACTATGGTCAGGGATTGAACTTACGCTTTGCAAATGTTGCACAGAGCAGCTAGACGCTCACGAACGACGAACATGTCCATGAGGTACGCACCCATGTTAGGGGTGTCCAGGTAAAGCTGGAAGAACTTGTGGTAGTTACCCAAGGCAAGAGCGGACCGCACCTGGAGCGCATGCTTGATGGGTCGCTCCTCCTTCTCTGCTGTGGTTAGATCTGCCAAGGCATCATTCAGGCCGGTACGGTTGGCAGTGTGAATAAAGTACAAAATGCGATATGCCTTGAACTCGATGGGGTTTCCTTTCAGTCCCTTTGCGTATAGAGTACGCAGCTGGGTTTGGCACTGATTATACTCACCAAGGTCCCCCTTCTCCAACGCAATTCGAGCGTGGAGTTCGTAAACGGTGACTGTAAAGTCGTTCTTGATCCGCTGCACTGTCAGATCTTGCCGCATGGATTTCAGCTGGTCGCAGATGTAAGAGTAGTTGCCCTCCTTCTTCCACTTCTTCTTCAGGAGATCCATCGTCTTGTGAAGGACGCGCTCGGGCCGAACCATGGAGGCCACGGGAGGAGCGGTCAGACGCAGGTAGCGCTTCTCCAAAGTTTCGCTGGTGCCGACGACGGGTCCATCAGAGGGCGGAGGGCTAGGCGATCGGTACGAGGATTTGTAGCCACCATCGAAGCGGCGTTGACGTTTCTCCAACTGCTTCTGGAACTTACTTGACTTGGGCAGTGGCTCATCGAGGTTGGCGCGTTTGTCGGGGGAGGCGAAGGTGATTCGGTCTTCCAGTGCGTTGGATCGGTTGCTGTTAGTAGTACGCCAAGGCACGGCAGAAGACTTTTCATCCGGGGTAAAATCAGACGACTTTCTCTTCTTGGGGTTGGCAGACATTGAACCATCATATCGCGATGCAAATGGAGATGAGACGTTCATAGCGGAGTTGAGCTGGGACTGGCGCTCGTTTCGGATCAGATCGGAGGGAAATGGCATCTTCTCCCAGTCGGTTGACTCGAGAGTGCCGTTCTCCATGTGCTGGGAAATGGTCTCCTTCAACTTGGCTTCAATCTCGGGGCGTGGCACGGAGGGGTCCATGTTGTGAGGCAGGAAAGACCGTTGGACGTAATCGCGGACGGAGGGTGGCCATTCGACCTTTCGTGGAGCCGGGGCAGGAGCAACAGGAGCAGCTTGGTCGAAGGGAGCAGCCAAGGGAGGCGGCGAAGTACTGTAGGCAGGTGCAGCGGGTGGGGGAGGATACTGGCCGAAGCTTTGTCGAGCCTGGACTGCGGTGTATGCTGGATCTAGAAAAAAATCAAAAGAGGATTAGTAAATCAGATCAAAACACAGTCAGTCTGAGAGGAGGAAAACTCACTGGGAGGGTAAGCATAGTTGGCGGGAGGTGCTCCGTAGGCAACGCCTGGAGGCGGTGCCGGAGGCCAGCTAGTGGGCATCATTGTGAGGGCTGTAAGGATCGATCTTGAAAATTTCTGGATCGAAAATTAGTCTTGATCGGCCAGAACAAGTATATCTATCGGTCTTTCGTGGTTGAGGCCGACTGAGAGGGGCGTGGAAATGTCGAACAGTCGAAGACGCGGTGGTGGTGGAAGGGGGGAAAGATGAAGTGAGGTTGGGAAGAAGCCGTGAAAGGTGAGGGCGGTAACAAAATGACGGTGGCCCGTGTGCGGGATTTCAGGTAATAATAGTGGGGATCCGAGCCAAACAGTGCCCTTGTGCCTTGTGGCCAGAACCTTTGGTTGTCACTGGCACAGGAGTGCCACCTCGATGATTACCTAATGCATCATGCCTAGGTGCACCACTGCACCCTGATGCACACCGCTAGCAACAAAAGGGGACTATCGCTATAGTGGGTCGGCGACATCCCACCTTCAATGTCCAGTTCCCCCTCCACTCGACCGTTGCTTCTCCGTGGGGCAGTTGTGTTACGAGAGAGATAAACTGACGCCTGGCATAGGAGCTGTTGGTTGAGTTCCTTCAGCCCCAACAACAAGCCACTGAACTTGGTTCGGTGTCTCAAAACCTGTCGAGTTCTCCTCTTCTACCCTCGAATCATGCGCAATCCTTGAAATAGCTGCGAACCCGGCTTCCGATCCCCTCCTCGAACCAGCCCGAGACTGTCCCTGACGTATGCGACAAACCGCGGCAAATAGCCCCTGCCATACTTCAACACCTCCCAACCAAACCCCAGTTTTGCGCGAGCTTCAATATCCTCAGTACGCTCGTGAATAATATGACGGATGTTTCTAAAACAAATCGACCTCACGACCGCTCTCCGGCCTTCCTACCTACCGGATGAAGTCTTGTTGTTCGTCCAGGACAACGTCGGGCTCTATGAAGGGTAAATACGACGAGGCTTGAACCCCATCCTACGCTTCTCACCATGTACCAGTACACTAATTAGCTCTCCTCTTTGTCTAGGAAGTTCAAATTACCTCAACAGCAAAATGGTCAGGTGTACTTGACGTCCCACCGAATCTGCTACGTCGACAAGGACGAGCCGCGCAAGCACTCCGTTGCCCTAGATCTGAAAGACATTGATCGATATGAGTTCTACGCGGGGTTCCTGAAATCTTCTGCGAAGATCACCCTGATTCCCAAGCCAATAAAACGCTCGTCGCTCCAGACTAGAGCGTCTGCGATATCTACACCTGGGAGAAATGGCGCAGGGTCACCAGCTCGAGCCGATGGTCCCTACCGACCGCCGCCCGAACCGGCAAGCGCAGCAACCTGGGTTTGCACCATCTGCAGCTTCTCCAACCCGGTCCCGTCAAACTTTGACCCAACGACGGCAAACATACACACCCCGCTGCCACCATGTCTTGCTTGCGGCATCAAGCCGACGTTGGCGCACGTTTTGAAGGCTTCTATATCGAATGCGACCAGCCGCGCCCCGCCGGCCACCCCTTCGAGCCCAACAGTCAGCTCGCCCCTCGCGATGCGCCCTCGGTCGACCTCCAACAGGCCCGACGACAACGCGGGGCCTCCGCCTCCCTGGCCAGCGGCCTCGAACATCAACGGCGGCGCCCCACCGAAGCCATCAGATCCAAGCGCGACGTTCCAATGCCCTCGATGCACGTTCTCAAATCACCCGTCCCTGCTGTCATGCGAGATGTGCGGGGCACCCCTAATATCGCAAGATCTGCCCCAAGCAGTCGTCACCCAGGTGCAGACGCAAAGGACAGAGTCTCCCGGCCCGGTCCTCACGACGTCCTCGCCTGGCCAGGATACCGCCGAGAACATCAAGATTTCCTTCCGCGGAGGCGGAGAGAAGATATTCTACGAGCGGCTCAAGGGCGCATTGACACAGCGCAAGTGGCTTCTGCAGGGCGCGCCGCCGGTACCCAAGAGCAATCGCACGATAGACGACAACGGCGCCCTCGTACGCGCACCCGCGGCGGTCCCCGAGCGTCCCAAGGGCGTGGGTATCGCGGGTCTGGAGCAGCGTGGGCTCGACATGCGCAAGAACAACGAGGTGATGATTGGCAGCGCGTTCGAGGACCTGGACGCCCTAATGGCCTCCGCCAAGGAGATTGTGGCCCTGGCGGAGAGGTTTGCGCGACAGAATGGCGGGACGGGCGCCGAGGCCAACGCTCTGCTAGCCGAATCGGCCAGCCAGCTCGGTCTCGTGACGACCAAGGATATTGTAGGCGGGAGCAGCTCCGAGACGCTGTATCTGTCCGAGTTGTCGAGGAATCTTGCAGAGTTCCTCACAGACGACGCGCGGGGTGTTTTAAAAAAGGCGGGCGGGATCATCAACTTGGTTGACCTGTGGGCCATGTTCAACCGCGCCCGGGGCGGCGTCGAGCTCGTGAGCCCCATGGATTTCGAAAAGGCCTCGCAGATGTGGGAGTCACTCAGACTGCCCGTCCGGCTGCGAAAGTTCAAGAGCGGTGTGCTGGTCGTACAGAGCAGCGATCGCACCGACGAGACCACCATCAGGGCGCTGGTGTCCTGGCTGGACGACTTGCACGAGTTCCCGCCGGACAAGGAGCTGGCGTGGGACTGGCGACAATTTGGCCGCGGGGTGACGGCGCGGGATGCGGCGGAGCGGTTCGGCTGGAGTATTGGCGTGGCGGAGGAGGAGCTGGAGATGGCTGAGGAAAGGGGCGTGGTCTGTCGCGAGGACGGCATCGAGGGGCTCAAGTTTTGGAAGAATTACATTGATGTTGGCGATGTGAAGCACCGCCGGCGCAGGAAGCATCGCGAAGAGGACGAGGTCATGAAGGCGCTTAGAGAGAGTGGGTTGATGTGACATTGCGGAAAGCTAGCTGTTTTGTGTGACACTGAACCTTGGATATATATCTATCTCGTGCTAGGGTCGACCTGGCTGGCGCGATTTGCAGACGATTAGAGCGCGCATTACTATTCTACAAGTGTGTCTTTGTGTGTGTGTTGATGTGTACGTGTGTGTGCTTTGGGGGTTTCTCCCGGTCTGTCGTCTCTATGTCAGATGCCCAGTTTCCTTGAACCCGGCGGCCTGGGTTGATACCGCCTCCCAATGTCTTGAACCCATCTAATGCCAAAAAAAGAAGAAACCCGGAAACGCCGCCCCATGTGAACCAATGCCAAAGAGGGAGGTTCTCAATAAACATAAAAACAAGTCATCAGGCCACCCGTCAGGCAGCTCTTGATCGGGAAAACCACGTTCCAAAGAGGTAAAAGGGGACGCAGGCTCATGTACTCGGATCCTTTCACTTCTCCGCCCTCTCCATGAGACTCAACCTCACCTTGCGGTTCACGACCCCGCCAACACCATACGCCGGGATAATACGGCAGATTCTCGCCATGGTGCTGATACCCCAATTCTTGGCCACAGACTGCCACCGGTTCTGCCACGACACAGGGGTAGCGGCGGCGTTGGGCCGGTTATACACGTCCAACCCGAGCAAATGCAGCGGCGTGCTGGCGAGCTGCACCATGGCCGGCGCGGCGAACTGCACGACGGTCAGCCCGCTCACCCTCTTCCTCATCTCCTCGCCCATCCGCTCATTCAGCCAGGGTCCCAGTCTCGGCGGGACGTTGAAGCTCGCGAAGATGGTCATGCAGTCGCGCAGCGTGAAGAGCGCGTAGGTGAGCATCGGTACGGGGCGGGGCGTGGCGCCGGGGGGGCCGAACATGCGCGCAAAGACTTGGTCTTTGTACATGCAGATGCCGATGTTTGCGGTGCTCGAGGCGGCGAATTTGGCGGTGCCCGAAGTTACGGACGAGGCCGGCGTGTTGTGGATGGTGGAGGAGGCGGTGTCGAGGGTGTTTGCTGTGAGGTAGGTGCCGCCGTAGAGGGCGAAGATGAGGGCGAAGGGTTTGGAGAAGACGACGGCGTGGGGGCGGAGGAGGAGTTCTTTTAGGCAAGAGCGGACGCATTCGCCTAGGGGACGGCGGCCGGAGGCGTTTTCCATGATGGAGCTATTCAAGAGTCAGTTTCTGGAGTACACTTCACGGTGTAGGAGAGTTGGAAAGAGAGGGAAGAGTGCTGCTTACCGGTCAATGATGGAGACCAGGGGCGCGACCAAGGTGCCGGCGCACGCTGCGCTGAAGAAGTCGGCTCCGAGGCGGAAGCCCAGGTTCTTGGTGTTCCATTCTGACTTTGCCTCGCCCATTTTGGACTCCATGTCGACTTTTTGGGCCAGCGCCAGCGGGCTTGGGGGTTTGATCTTGAGGTCTGGCGTGACTGGTGCGGATGCGGCTGCGGCGGCGGCGGCAAGCCCTTGTGGTCTTGAGTCTCGTTCCGCCATGCGGGCGCAGTTGTATGTGTATGTGTGTTGGAGCTTTGAAGAAGTTGGAGGCTGAAGCTCTCGCGATGCTTCGGTTGGGTTTCCTGGTAGTCGATTTCGCAGGCGGCGGGGGGATGACAGCGACTGCGCTGGACCGGGTGGTTTCCCGACGTTCGGTTTGCGACGGGTGATGTCAATAGACGGGTTCGGGGTTGGAGGAGGTGACGTATCGGCGTGGGTGACGTCGCGAAGGTCGGAGTTTTGGGGAAGCTAAGGAAGCTCTCCAAGGACGGGACGACACACACGAATGGGATGAAAGAGGTTCCTTTTTTGGGGGGGAATTGACCTCAAGAGGAAGGATGAGGCGGGGGAAAAAACCAAAGGTAATGGGGGAAAGTGGTCTACTAGAAGATGGGAGAGAGAACAAGGGAAGACCAGGACGAAAAAGGACAAGAGCTACGGTAGAGCTACACTATGGACACAAATCCCATGGGCAAAGAAGAGAGTAGAAAACAAGACCAGCCCGGGACGCAGCTTTTTTGCGACCTTGGTGCCGGGCACGACGCGCCCAATTATGGCCGTCTCGAGGAGCTCAGAGTCAGACAAGCGACCCCGGGACGGGACGGGACCGTAGTCCGTGGCAGAGAGGAAAAAACAGCAGAGCCCTGGACTGGTAGAGTCCCATGGGATAAAATAAAGTGGACTACCGCAAGGTATTCCGTATCACATCCATGGTGCTACGGATGAGGGTGGACGAATGGTTGCTCGAAAATTTCAGCTTACTGGAGACCGAAGTCGGAGATAGTCGGTACGATGGGGCCCGAGGAATGTCCACAGGTATCTACCTCTACTTCGTACCTTTACCTTAGCTTAAAGTCAAGTAATTATAAAGTAGGTAGGTACCTACAGGTAGACATTGTTTTGACATCTTACGATAAGATACTTTGCCCTGGGTAACTTCGCAAGACATGCCATACAGATTTCTGGCTTGTTACCAGTTCGTGTGACGGTTCCCCCAGGAGTTTCTGTAGAGTGTACTCCGTACTCCGTAGATTGAACGGATATGGCATTTTTCTTCAATGTCTCCATCGCAGGAACTCATCCCGAGCCACTGTAAATAATGGGGGTCCTTTGGGGGGTTGGCGCACTTTTGGAGAGCTGGGGCCCTGGGGGATGTGAGTCGGACTCGGGAAACATGGGACGGGACCAGTAGACACCAAGGGAGACGCCTGTTTTGGTGATTGGTGGGGGTCACACGGGGTCACTCACTTGGTGGAGGCTCCTGTTGATGGGGACCAGTGCCTTCCAGTGATTGACCAAGTGAATGGTCCACGGATACCGTCCGCGTTGGCTGAGTTCTGAGTCCTGAGTCCTGACATATGAACATGTGGGCAGCCCAGAAATCGCATGATGGCATGACTTTGAGTGTCGACAGTGTTTGTTCGCTTCGGACATGCACCTAAAATGACCAAACGAGAGAAGACGCCCGCCTAGAGGCATCTCCAAGAGTGGGTCCCCTCGTCGGCTACTCTCCCGTTGGCCGTCCGGTTTCCTTCCGGGGGAGCGACACTGACCCACCCGACCTCGGGGCTCTGGGATTGGATGATTGGGATTCGCGCTACGTACCCGACCCGACCAGTGGGTCCCACGACCTGCTGAGTACCTTAGGTACGTTTCGCAGCTTAGCTAAGCTTTCGCTCAAGAAGCCGGGGGGCCGCGTGGTTAGAGTACGTACCCATTTCTGTACCTTTCCTTTCCTCTTGGCGCATGTCTCTCCAGCAAGTCTGGATACTTACGCAGTATTAATAAAGTGCTCCGGGACTCAGAGGCCGTTCAATACGAATCAATAAGCTTGAAAGAAGCTACAAACAAAAAGACATAGGAGGAAGCACGGCAATCCTCTGAAAATACCCAAGATCGATTTCACACACACAATTGCATGCTTACTTACCTACGACCCTATTTACCTAACTCTAGGTATACGAACACAGATACGTTAGGCCAAACAGGCACCAGCATGGGCAGCGCAGCGCAGCACACATCCCATGCCATCCAATTCGTCCCTAGGTCTACTTCCAGAGCCGGCTAAGATATTCGCCGTCTCCAAAACCGCCCCGAGGCCCAAGCAGGAAGGAAGGTAAGTGGAAGGTAAGCAATCGGACAAATTCGAGGGACCTTTGGAAGCTTAACGTGTCGACCTACAAGGGCTGTCGCGTCCCTGGAGACAGCATGCGTCACCCTCATTCGTACGTCTGGTCAAACTGCTGCCTTTTTTCAACTGCGTCTGATCCTCTCGCAGCAAAGTGTCAGCACCATAGTTTGTTTCAATTGACTTCATCTCACCGTCTCGATACCATCGCGTTGTATTTCGTCCCCCAATTGTGAATACCATCTACATTCCAAATCCACCACCTTTCGCGGTGTCCACCCATTCTCTCCAACATGCGCGTGGCAAAGGAATTCACCCCCGAGGTGCTCCTGAGCGCACCCCGCCGCGGCGCCGCCGTCCCGAGCCCGGACGGCAAGCTCATCCTCTACACCCAATCCACCCACAGCTTCGACGACAACAAGACCCTCAAGGAGGTCCGCCTCATGCACGTCGAGTCCGGCGCCTCCGATCAGCTCACCGACGACGACAAGGTACACGACGCCCTGTGGCTGCCTGGCACAGCGAGCGACGTCGTCTACTTGAAATCCGGCGACAAGGGCACCACCCAGATCTGGATCGCCAACGGCGCCGAGCCGGCCAAGGAGCATTACGTCGCTGCAGAGTATGATGCGCCCATCAGCGCGCTCAAGGTCAAGGCGCTGGGTGATGGGAGTGTCGGCTTCGTCGTTGCTGGGCTGGTAGGGCCCGACGGGTCTCTGTTCAACGACAAGACCGAGGAGAAGAGGTCCACGGGGCGAATCTTTGACGATTATCACATGAGGCGTGTAAGTTGGGAGGAATGGGATTTGGCGAGCGTAAGATGGTGACAAGTTTCGTGATTAACAAACCTCGTGTTAGTGGAACGAACTGATCAAACCTCACAAATACGCCCTCTGGTACTCGACTCTCGTCAACGCGCACGGCAAATGGGGCGTCGCAGGCGAGCTCCAAAACGCTATCAAGGGAAGCCGTCTCGAGGCGCCGTCGGGCATGTACGACGTCAGCGACCCGACGGACGCATTCGACGTCAGTGAGAAAGGCATCACCTTCATCGCAGAGGACACCGGGCTGAAGCCGGAGGACGCGGGCGCCTCCCACGTCTACTACGTCCCGCTCACATCGTTCTCGGCCGCCGCGAGTGCCAAGCCCAGGCCGCTTGTCATGGGCATATCGGAGGCCAAGGCGTATTACTCCAACGTGAGGTTCTCGCCCGACGGCTCCAAGATTGCATTTTTGCACGAGCCGCTCGACAACCCCGCGGACGCGAGGTTGTATATGGGCCACACGGCGTCCTTTGGCGCTTACGATGTGCACAAGATGATCTTTGGCAACGGGCCGAGCTTGCCGCCCAAGGGGTTCGAGTTCGCGGGCAGCTCTGATGCCATCTTCTTGCAGACGGAAGACTGCGGACGGGTGAAGCTGTCGCACGTGGAGCTCCGTCACGATGCAGAGGCGACGACACTGACGTCGAGCGGCGTCGTCTCGGCTTTCTACCCTCTCAAGGAGGGCAGCTATGACAAGGTCCTGGTGACGAGCAATAGTTTCCTTGACAGCAGTCTGTGGCAGATTATCGACGTCTCGTTGAACACGGCGCCAAAGACTGTGTCGTCGGCTACGAAACACGGCGCAAAGTACGGGTTGTCTCACAGCATGGTCTCTGAGTTTTGGTACGAGGGCGAAGGCGACAACATTGTGCACTCCTTCATCATCAAGCCGGCAAATTTTGACAAGACCAAGAAGTACCCTTGGATTCTCTTACCTCACGGTGGGCCGGAATCATCTTGGACGGATTCATGGTCGACAAGGGTTAGCCAGTCCCCTCTTTCGTCTCGTATACTCACCCTCAACTAACACCTGAACTTAGTGGAACATGGCCCTTTGGGCCCAACAAGGCTACGTCCTCATCGCGCCAAACATAGCAGGCAGCACAGGCTACGGCGTCGACTTCACAGCCCGCATCTACCGCTCCTGGGGCGGCGCTCCCTTCCAAGACCTCGTCCGCCTCATGGACCACCTGCAACAAGTCCCCTACCTCGACCAGGGCCGCGCCGTCGTCGCGGGCGCCTCGTACGGCGGCTACATGATCTCCTGGATGAACGGGCACGACCTGATCCGCCGCTTCGCCTGCTCCATCTGGCACGACGGGATTTTCAGTCTGCCTGTGTTCATGCTGCAGAGCGACGTCGTCGTCGGCGGGCCCGATTTCGGGGGGCTGCCCTTTCTGTGGGATAATGCCGAGGAAATGGAGCGGTGGAACCCGGCGCGGCCGGAGCTGTTGCGGAATTGGAGGCACGCGCCGCCGACGTTGATCATTCACAGCGAGAAGGATTACAGGTGTCCTATCACGGAGGGGATTGCTGCGTACAATACGCTCATGTGCCAGGGCGTCAAGACGAGGTTCTTGACGTTTGATGATGAGTGTCATTGGGTGCTGAACCCTGAGAACTCAATGGTTTGGCACAAGACTGTTTTTGACTGGATGGCGAGGTTTACCGGGGAGCGCAGGGTTTGAAGGAGGTGTTTGTGAAGTGGGAGTGCAGCTTATACACGATGAAGATATCGGGTGAGAGGCAGTCAGCAACAATGAATAGAACAAAGTGACAAAGTACCTAGATATCAGATGAGACGGCTTTTCTCATCCGAATATCTTCATCCATGACTTGGACTCTTCGACCTTGAAGTTGTAAGTGCAGTTGGTGATCGGGCACATATACCCCCGAGACCCCCAACCAAGCCATCGGGACTTCAAATCGCCGCATCAGAGGTCAAAAGTGGATCTTACGGGGGACTTTAAACCTCCGTCTCTTCCACCAATTAACCGGACATTTCAGCAGTACTACGGTAGCCCGTTCATTGACTCGGCTCCGGACGGTGCTACCCCGACCTCAGTCTCGACGCCGTAATCCAATCGCCTGACTTCAAGCTCCTCAAAATGTGGGGGTTTTTGTCTGCGTGGCCCCCCGGAAGGCGACCCCGATTTCCCCGGTCCTCAGCCGGGCTCGTGTAAGAGGGAACATCGTAGCTTGGCGAGTTTTATATATAAGAGTGCGCAACATTACGTCGTTTCCCCTTTTAGTTTCACGATGTCTCAGTGATCTTGTTTGCAGGCGCAGTATACCAGACTAGAAGGGTTTACTACATATTACATGGTAGAAACCTTTGAATTCCAACATCCAAGATGACATCCCTCATCTGGTATGAGCTCAGCAAAGGCTGGACGTTCAAACAGCAAGATGACGCCTCGGAGGAGGCATGGCTCCCTGTGCCTAGTATTCCCAGCCAAGTCCACGTCGCTCTGCTGGCAAACAAGAAGTAAATCCGCCCCCTCGCCTCGTACACTTACAGCCGGAAACAAGACGAACCTGACATCCAAACACAGAATCCCAGACCCCTTCCTGGACATGAACGAACTCGCCGTCCAATGGGTCGCGGAAAAAACCTGGATCTACCGCCTCGCCTTCCCAACACCGCCAGACTTCACCACGCCCGCAGCAGAAGCAGAAGTACCAAGCACGACAGCAGTAACAGACCTCGTCTTCGAAGGCCTAGACACTTTTGCAACCATCACCCTCAACGGCACACAGATCCTCACCTCGGACAACATGTTCCTCTCCCACCGCGTAAACGTCACGCAGCACCTCAAGACAGACGGTGACCGCACCAACCTCTTGGAAATCGTCTTCGACTCGGCCCTCCTCCGCGGGAGACGACTCGTCGAGGACCACGCGCACGAGCACAGGTTCATCGCCCGGCAGACGGAGCAGGGCCGGATCCCCGTCCGGAAAGCGCAGTATCACTGGGGCTGGGACTGGGGTCCGATCCTCGTTACCGCAGGAATCTGGAAGCCTGTGTACTTGGAGCGGTATGTTGCGCGGATCGATGATGTTTGGGTCAAGAGCGAGGTGAGTCCGGATTTGGGGAGCGTGTCGGGGCAGGTTATTGTCAAGACCCAGGGCTCCGGCGCGGATGAGGTCGCGGTGGTGTTTAGCCTCGGAGACGAGGTTGTTTTGGAGAAGCGTATGGTCGTTGCGGAGGACGGGACGGCAAAGGCCGACTTTTGCCTTGAGCAGCCGAAGCTGTGGTATCCCCTCAACAACGGCCCGCAGACACTCTACACAATCACGACGACCCTCCACCGCGCCTCAGATATCTCAAATCAAGGGCAACTGCTAGCAGCACACACCCAAAGAACAGGCTTCCGCCGCGCGCAACTCATCCAAGAACCCGACGCCCTCGGCAGATCCTTCTACTTCCGCATCAACAACACCGACGTCTTCGCCGGCGGCTCCTGCTGGATCCCGGCAGACAGCTTCCACGCGGCTATCCCGCCCTCGCGGTACCGCGCCTGGGCCGCGCAGCTCGTCGCCTCGAACCAGAACATGTTGAGGATATGGGGCGGCGGCGTCTACGAGTCTTCGGTATTGATGGAGGCGTGCGACGAGCTGGGTGTGCTAGTCTGGCACGATTTCTGCTTCGCGTGCGGGAGTTACCCGACGTACCCTAGTTTCCTGGCCAGCGTCGAGGCGGAGGCGCGGCAGAATTTGGCGAGGTTGAGGCGCCATCCTAGTATCGTGATTTGGGCGGGGAATAACGAGGACTATCAGGTGCAGGAGAGGTACAAGCTCGAGTACCGGTTCGAGGAGGATAAGGACCCGGAGTCGTGGTTGAGGTCCGGGTTTCCGGCGAGGTATTTGTACGAGTATTTGTTGCCCAAGATTGTGGAGGAGGAGAGCCCGCATGCGGTGTATCATCCGAGTAGTCCGTGGGGTGATGGGAAGCCTACGGCTGATCCGACGGTTGGAGATATCCATCAGTGGAATAGTAAGTCTTTTCTTTTCCTACCCCTTTTTCGTGGAGCAACTCGGATCGAAATGACCAACACAACCGAACCAGTCTGGCATGGCGCAATGAACAAATACCAAGAATCCCACCTCTTGACCGGCCGCTTCGTCTCCGAGTTCGGCATGGAAGGCTACCCGCACCTGACCACCACCACCGCAATGCTCACCTCGACCGCCCAGCGCCGCCCGGGCTCCATGGCTCTCGACTTCCGCAACAAAGCCTACGACCACGAGCGGCGGATGATGACGTACATTGTCGAGAACTTCCGCGTCCGCTACGACCTCGAATGGTTCACATACCTCACACAGCTGATGCAGGCCGAGACCATGACTTTCGCGTACAAGGCCTGGCGACGGGATTGGGGCACGCCCGGGAAGAGGGGGTGCGGCGGCGCGCTGGTGTGGCAGCTGAATGATTGCTGGCCGACGGTGAGCTGGGCGATTGTGGATTACTGGCTTGTGAGGAAGCCTGCTTTTTATGCGATTGGGAGAGCGTTGAGGGGGGTTGATGTCGGGGTTGGGAGGAGGGTTGACGAGTGGACGAAGTGTCATGCTGATCCGACGCTCGCGGCGAGGGGCACGGAGTTTGACGTGTGGATTGCGAGTGCGAAGACTGATGCTGTTGCTGGGGAGCTTGTGGTGAGGTTCATCTCTATTGAGACGGGTGAGGAGATCAGAGACAGGATTGAGAAGAAGGTTGTTGCGGAGGGGAACGCCACGACGGAGGTTGTTGAGAAGCATAAGATTGAGGCCTTGAGGGAGAAGTTGGGGGATGCGAGTGTACCATTTCATCCAGAGGAGGATGATCCGTTTGTTATCCATGCGACGCTGTTTGTTGATGGGAATGCTGTGGCGGAAGATACGGCGTGGCCGCAGCCGTTGAAGTATATCGACTTTTCGGACCGCAGGGTGCGTGTGGAGGTGAGGGATGGGAAGCTGGTTGTCTCTGCAGAGAGGCCGGTCAAGGGGTTTATTATTCAGGAAGAGCGCTGGATGAAGCTGAGTGATAATGGGTTCGATGTGGTGCCGGGTGAGGAAAGGGTCGTGTGTGTAGAGGGTTACGATGTGCAGAAGTTGCGGTGGACGTATTTGGGCGCACCCGAGGCGTCTTTGGGGCTGTCTGCATAGACACTGGCATAGTTACGATAGTTCAAGATGATCACTAAGATATATGAAAGGAGTATTGAAGAGGGGAACTGTGTTCAAATTTGGGCATTTTGTCATAACTCATTACGGGCGTACAACTACAGCTACTCGTGACAGTGCAGTCTGAATTGGTTACCAATCTTCCCGAAAGCGCCATCAGTTAGATGATGTCTCCTCCGAATCCTCCACCAAACCCTCCCCCGAACCCGCCAGAGCCTCCAAAGGGATTCCCGCGTCCCCCGCCATGTCTCGGTATACCCCCCGGACCAAGGGGGTCCCATCTGGCACCCGGCGGCGCTTGGGGGTCGTAGCCGCCACCTCCCTGGGCACCCGGCCCTCCGAAAAGGGGGTCATCAAATGTCGGGTGCATTCCGCCGCCGCCTCCAGGTCGGGGGAGACCGCCGCCACCGATGAAAGATGCTCTCAGCGGGTCATTGGGACCAAGACCAGGGGGGTTGAGGTCGTCGTGGCCAATATTGTAGGGTGATCGACCGGGGACCCCCAGTGGGCGAGGGGGTCTATTGATTTCATACTCGTCTTCAAATCCGGGCGGTGGGAAGTCTCCGGCAGGAATGGGTCGTCTGGAAGGCTGGGCGAGAGGATCATTGACCGGGTATGGGCGCGCGGGATCAGGCAGGTCACCGGGTGCTGGCCGTCCAGGACGACCGGCCTGGGCACGGCCTTCTCTCTGTGCGTTCTCGGCTGCGTCCCTGTCGTCGGGAGACTCTTCATAGCCTTCAACTTGCAACTTGGGAATGAGCTTTTGGATAATCTCCGTCTTGAACTGATCAATCAGCTTGGTGACGGCAGACTCTGATGCGAAAGCTTCCTTGAGCTTCTCGACTAGGTCGCTCCTGTCTTCGGAGCCGTCCTCGGTGAGTGTGATGCGCAAAGGCAGCTTTGCGTTATTGATGACGTCCTTTGTCATGATTTCAAATCTGTGGATGACATCGTGGCCGACGGCGAGCCCGCTGATCTCGACTTTGCCGCCAACTTTGCTGATTCGAATAATGGATGTCATGGACGACTGCTTGTGGGCGTAGACAAAGCGGAGAGAGCCATAGCCGGCGTTCCATGATGCTGGTAGACGCGGGGCGAGGCTTTGGACTTCTTCTTCTGCGGTGGGTGTTAATTGGGGTCCTGGAGCACGGTTATCAAGGACAGTAGCCATACCTATCCTCTTCTCCTCGTCAAACCCCAGAAGACGGAACTTGAGGGACGCCATGCAGGCATGCGTGAGGAGGGCAGGAAGCTCATAACCGCTGCTAATGTCCGAGGTGGTGTCGCCTTTGGAGTGGGCAGGCAGGGCTTCTGCCATTTGTTGCAGTACAGACTGCGAGGTGAGTGGGTTCGCCATGGCGGGGATGTGCTGAGGAGGGGTAGATTCCTGAGTTCTACGTTTGTGTGTCTGTAAATGGTGAGATTCGAAAAGAAGTCTGCGAGAATCTTCAACGCTTATGTAGACCGTGAATGGGGCTTAGACGGTGTTGGGCTTCGTTGTTTGATGTTGGGTTGGGCTTCACAG